GTCCTACTACTAAACCAGCATCACCTAAGCCCCAAAGAACCAGATTTACCAACCAAAAAAGTAATGAGTATCTCAACCATCCCAAATCTCCTATCACTTACCAACACCCGAATAGATACCAATTACTTTCAATAGACTCTGAAATTGAGAATGAAGAACATTTTTTAGACATTCAAACCCACCACAACACATGTACATTGACACCCTACCCTTCAAGAGCAAAGAAAAGAAATCTAAGTTTAGAGGAAAGCGAGGTGGAAGACGATCACAAAAGAGAGAGACTAGAGAGATTATAAATCCTCCAACCGAAAAAGAAGGTGGCATTTTTAACCTATCCCAAAAAATTTTAACCTCAGCACAAATTTCTGTTTTAACTAAAGGTCTTAAATTCGCTCCTACACACTCTTTTAAACCCTTTGAAGCTTATCTAGACATCAACAAATTTGTACGAAAAGCCACCCTTAAGAGATTTTTTAATGACCATAATTCTTCTACTAACCCACCTCCTACCCCCATTTCTCCCTCACAACAAGAGGCCAAAGTTAACAATACTAACCTAAAAGAAAAATCCAAATTTTATCCTGCCCATTGCAAATCCGCACCGCTTGTCATGTTTGAAAAACTTGTCATACAAGATTTAGAAAGAATCAAACCTACCAAATTCGACACTCATAACCTAACACAAAGTGAAAGAGTAGCAATCAAACAACTACAGGATGATAAGACCATAGTAGTTAAACCAGCAGACAAAGGGGGAGGCCTGGTTATCCTATCAAGTACTATGTACATTGAGGAAGCCAACCGACAACTTAATGACACTCAAGTTTACGAAAAATTACTATCAGATCCAACTGCTAATATAAAAGAGACTTTTTCAACGTTTTTAAAAAAAAGGGGCAGATCTTAATATTTTAAGCAAACAAGAAGCTAATATTCTAAACATCCAATATCCCAAAATTCCAGTAATCTATTTTCTACCAAAAATTCACAAAGATACAACTAACCCACCAGGTAGACCCATTGTGTCTGGGATAGGCTCACTCTTAAGCAACTTATCACAGTATATCGATACTCTTCTCCAACCCTCTGTCAAGCTTATGAGGTCCTATCTGAAGGATTCCATGACTCTTTTAAGATTTTTAAACAATTTTAGCTGGCAACCTAATTTTATTCTAGTCACTTGCAATGTCCAGTCTTTATACACAATCATTCCCCATGACATAGGGTGCAACGCAGTGCGTAATATCCTCACACAAGAAAATAGAATCCCCAATATTCAAATTGATTTTATTATTGAAGGTATTAATATAATTTTAAAGAACAATTATTTCTGGTTTTTTAATTGTTTTTATCTACAAAAACGAGGTACGGCTATGGGAACCAGGTTCGCCCCCAGTTATGCCAACCTCTTCATGGCAGATTGGGAATCCACTGCCATCTGGGGCGAGCATACATGGCGGGCGAACCTGATCACATATTTTAGATACATAGATGACCTCTTTTTTATCTGGAACGGTTCAGAAGATTCTTTAAAATTATTTATTAATCATCTTAATTGTAACAACAGAGGCATCATTTTAACTTACGAATACAGTAAAACTACCATTAACTTTTTAGATCTGGAAATTTTTATTAAAAATGATATTTTAAATACCAAAACCTTTTTTAAAAAAGTATGCACAAACACAGCCATTGACCGCTCAAGTTGCCACTACAAACCATGGCTGGAAAGTGCACCAAAAAGTAAATTTTTAAGACTGAGAAGGAACTGCTCTCAAATAGAAGATTTTAACTCGCAAGCTGCTTTTTTGAAAAATCAATTCACAGAAAAAAATTACCCAATAGAGAACCTTAATAATACCATAGAATCAGTTCGAATTAAAGAAAGAACAGAACTTTTAAATTACAAAGAAAAAACCACTGATAATCACCTTAACCTTCCGATTATCTTCAATTTTAACAACAAAAGTAACCATGTTAAAAAAATTATAAAAAAACACTGGCACCTATTACAACATGATGATACTCTTAAGAAAATCATACCAGAAAGACCAAATATTGTCTTTAGAGGAGCCCCTAGGTTAAAATCTATTCTAACCTCCAACTACACAAAAGAGAACAAAAAAAAGTCACAAACCTGTCTTTTACCTAATATCAAAGGGTTCTTTAAATGCAAACACTGTAAAGTATGCAAATGCACAGATCAGTCGATTAAAACTAAAACCACACACTTTCAGTCTAATAAAACCAACACAACATATAACATCAAGGATTTTATTACATGTACTACAAAGAATGTAATCTACCTCCTAGAATGCCCATGTGGATTACAATACGTGGGCATGACCACAAGAAGTCTTAAAACACGCTTAGGTGAACACTTCCGGAATATTATTAATGGATACCAGAATCATACGGTATCTAAACATTTTATCATTCATAATAAGGATCCTGGCCTTTTAAAATGTATTGGCATAAAAAAATGCACCATTCCATGGAGAGGAGGTAACATCAAAAATATTTTAGGAAAATGTGAAATGGAATGGGTCTTTAATTTAAAAACATTGGTTCCAAATGGTTTAAATGCAGACTTCGATTTATTTAATTTTATCTAAATATTTTACATAACATTACCACTCTTCTTATTATATCTTATTTTAACATATATTAAAATGTTTTATGTGCTTATGCCCTTATTATTTTTATATTAGCATTTTACATATGTATATGTTTTATTATGTTATTATGTTTTAATACTCCTATTTTGTTTTATGTACCGTGTTTCCCCGAAAATACACCCTACCCCGAAAATAAACCCTAGCTGAATTTTCCGGGTGGGCTGCAATATAAGCCCTACCCCGAAAATAAGACCTATGCATTGCACCTTTCGGCCCGGCGGGACTTCCTTCTTCTATGAGGAGCGTTGCGGGCCGCGGCATCGCGCAACGTGATGACGACGTGCGCAGCGCCGTCAGTCTGCCTTCACGGATCTTCAGCGGAAGGATCCATTTCCGGGCCGTGAGGCACCCAGTGGTCGGACTCGGCGGGCAAGGAAGGCATCTTTGAAATGTGAGTAGATATTTTATGTCTGGGACTGAATTAATTAAAGGGGGCGATGAATTAATTAAAGGAGGCGGTGAATTAATTAAAGGGGGGGCTGGATTAATTAGAGGGGGGTGGATTTATTAAAGGGGGGTTGGATTAATTAAACGGGGGGTGGATTTATTAGAGGGGGTGGATTTATTAAAGGAGGGGTGGATTTATTAGAGTGGGTGGATTAATTAGAGGGGGGTGGATTAATTAGAGGGGGGTGGATTAATTAAAGGAGGGGTGGATTAATTAAAGGAGGGGTGGATTAATTAAAGGAGGGTGGATTAATTAGAGGGGGCTGGATTTATTGGGGGGGTGGATTAATTAAAGGAGGGTGGATTAATTAAAGGGGGGTGGATTAATTAGAGGGGTGGATTAATTAGAGGGGGTGGATTTATTAAAGGGGGGTGGATTAATTAAAGGGGGGTTCAATGTACATACCGGTACCATAAATAAATAAGCCCTACCCTGAAAATAAGCCCTAGTGTGTTTTTTGGGACTAAAATTAATATAAGACCCGGTCTTATTTTCGGAGAAACACGGTATAAGTAAAAATAGCAATAGAAGAAAAAAAAAAAAAACATTGTTGCTGGACATTTTGTATGCATACAAAGTTAAAGATATACAAAAAATAAAAAAGCAACATTGTTTCAAAAAGGTTAGTTCCAATCAAATGCCTTTTAAGCCACATCAGAACAAATAGATAGTCCATTAGAGCCTTATTCATTGATCCTGTAGAGCCTTATTCATTGATCCTGTACTGGTGTGGATTAAAAGGCATTTGAATCAGACAAACCGTCCAAAACAAACTTTTGCCCAAGTCTTGTAAAAGCCCATGTCAGAGTTCTTTCATCAAAGTCACTCATGAAGATAATGGGAATGATGTATAACACATGCAAAAGAGCACTAGGAAGGTTTTCTGGTTCTGTTCAAGAGTTAAAGTAACAATCCAGGCACCGTAACAATGTCATCTAATTCCACAGCGCAGGGGCACTTCTGATTGGCTGAGAGAAATCAGCTGATGCTCTCAGCCATTCAGTGAATGAAATGTACCTTTTCCAAGCCAGTTTTATGAATGGGTAATCACAGATTGGCTGAGAGCGTCAGCTGACTGCTCTCAGCCAATCAACATGACCACCCCTGCCCCATGGCACTCTGTGCTCCCCGAGACTGAGATTTTTGAAACCTAATGCCGCCAGGGGGGAGTTGGAGGCTCACTTTGAGGTAAAACGGTTCAAGAACGGTTTAACCCCTTGAGGTAAGCGTGCGCTAGGGGGCTTTCTGGCACCATAATAACCAAATGTATATGAAAATGTTGTGGTGTCTAGACTTTCCCTTTAATGTTTGGGAATAGCTATTATAAACATGTTTTCCATTCAGTTTGCCTGTTTCAATCTTCTATCTATAACTAAAACATTGGACATAAAACTGAAGCCAACCAGGTGACAACAACAGTAGGTACTGGCAAAGTGATGTAAGCAGTTAGTTCACCACTACTAACTTGCACAAACCGATAACACATGATTGTTTAAGCAAAATTGTAGAAATCTAAAAAAGGTTATTGATTACTGAGAAACTAGGCTGCAATACATAGATT